TAGTATTAAGAATATTAAGAAAAGTAAGTAATGAACTTATAATAGCTATATATATTTTATAAAAGGCCTAAACTTCTAAAATTAGATCCTAAATAGCTATAAGTATTATATTATTAGTATTTAAAATACTAGTAATAAACTATTTAGTAATCTCAGTAATAAGCTTAGTAATAAGATTAATACTTTAAAAGTAGACTTTATAGTATTTCTTTAAGGAATTAGTAAATATCTAAATATATTAGAAAAAACTTATTTTTAGAATACTAACTTAAGTAATATTATTATCTGCCTTATTAAGATAAGAAAAAGAATTCTAAAGCTTATTAGTATTTTTCTAATCTTTAAAAACCTAATTAATAGTATTATTTTTATTAGTATAATACTATTTAAGATATATTTCAAGAAATTTCTTAAAAGTTATAATAGTATTTTCCTAGAACTAATAAGCCTCTAATAAGTAATAAGAAATCTGAAATCATATTAGCTTTAATAAATATTAAAACTAAAGAACTTACTAATATATAAGACTTAGAACTCTTATTATAATAGTTATAATTCTTCTTATTAGGTACTATAATATATAAAATAAAGAAATTAATAAGTAAATACTTAAAATATTTCGAATATTTACTAATAATAAAAAAGAAGGCTATAAGATTACTTTTATACTTATTATTATATAGGTAAATAATAAAGCTAGAAAAAGATATTATAGAATTAATTAAAAATAATTAAAGAAGATTTAGAAAAAAGTAGAAAAAGAGGCTAAAAGGTAATAATAATAAAAGTTATTATATATATAGTTATTAGAAAGGAAAAGAGTATATAATAATATAAAGAAATTCTTTTATAAAGATAAAGAACTACCTGAATTAACTACTAGTTTTTATACTAGTTCTAATTAGAAATTAGTATAACTAATTAATATATATTCTTAGAAGCCTATAAATAATTTTTAGTATTTCAGAAATATTTATATAAGTTTCTTATATAAATATTTATTAAATTCTTTCTATATAGTTATTTAGATTATTCTAATACAAGATCTAATAAGTAGTATTAAATTTATAGAATAGTACCTTAGTATTTTGAATTAAGCTAATTAGAATACTCAGATCCTAAATAAAACCATAATTACTAGCTAGTTCCTATATCTGAGATATAATTATTCTTTCTTTCTACTTATTTAGCCCTAATCTAATTAGACGATTTTTATATCTATTATCTAGATTATATTAGTAAAACCACTTCCTAAAATACTAGAAGTTTACTTTAATTAAATAAATAAATAAATAATTATTTACTAGAATAGATTAATAGATCTTGGGAATAAGATCCTAGAAAAGAGATATAATTATAATATATATAAAGTCGTATATAACTTAAGAATATATAATAAACCTTGGATATTACAGGTATTAATTAGGGAAATTAGTAGCTCTTTAATATTATAACTAACTACTATTTATATTATAAGTATTAGGCTTATAAATTACTAATTATATATATGTTATTAGGGCCTTTTATTTAGAGAGGGCTTCCCTGAATCTTATAAAAGAAATAGAGATTAGTTCTATACTAAATTTAATACTATAGTTTTATAACTTACTAATTTATTCTATTATTTTATTACTTACTAATAAATACCTTATAATTTATAAAAAGTATTTATTATAAGTTCAAGATTAAGTTCTAAAGACTATTTTTTAAGGAACTTTCTATAATATAAATCAAGTATTTAAACTTTAAGAAGTTTTTTATAATCTAAAAATGGCTTTAGAATATTATATAATAACTCTAAATAAATAATATTAAAGTTACTTTTAAATCTTATAATATTAAAAAGGAAATAAAATTCAGATTTATTTTAGGATCTTTTTTAAAAGAAAATATAATAAAAAATAAAATATAATAAAAAATAAAATATAATAAAAAATAAAATATAATAAAAAATAAAATATAATAAAATATAAAATATAATAAAAAATAAAATATAATAAAAAATAAAATATAATAAAAAATAAAATAAATATATAAATAGAATTCTTATAAAATGTAATAAACCTTAAAGTATTTCTAAGATTATTTTTATATTATTTTAATTCTAGAATATGTTTATTAATTATATTTACTAATATTTACTTTTATTAGAAAGCTTTAATTTTATTTTATAAGTTTTATTTAATAGCCTAAATAATAATAATTTGAGTATTAATTATAGTATTTATATTATTATTATTACTATTATTATTAGGCTTTAAAGAATCCGAAATGGCTCTATTAAAAGTATTAAATAAGCCTTTATTATTATTTATATTAGAATTAGTAAGAAATTATATATTTTAAAGATTACGGGATATAATTACTTATTAAGCTATTTCTTTTAGGAATTAAAGAGATTAGCTTATAAAATAATTAATTACAGATAATAATATAATTAATAAAATATAAAAATTATATAATATTAAATTTAATATAGAACTAATTTCTATTTCTTCTAAAAGATTTAAGAAAACTTCTTATAAATAAAAGGTTTAGCTAATATATATACTAGCTTAGAATTAATAAATATAGCCAATTATTAATATAAGAATAATATAATAGAATTAGAAATTACTAATTTCTTTTTCTTAAAATTAAGATTCCTGGTTTATTATATATAATAGTTTTATATAAGGCCCTATATATATTATAATTACTTCTAAAGAACTAGTATTATTCTTATATTTATATATTAATAATAGTATATATTATATATATTATAAAGCTTATTATATTAACTTGTTATATATTTAGCTAGTAATTTATTTTACTATTTACTAATTCTCGATATAAGTATTAGAAATACAGCCTTCTTTTTACTTGCTTAGCGGCCGTAAAGTTATATAATATATTATTAAATCATATTATTAAAGAGGTTCTTATTTCAAATTCAATTCTATATCTTTTGCGAATTAAATTTTTTAAAGCAGGCAGCTATAAGGTCAGTTATATAATTTGACTTCGAATATATAGCTCCCTAAATCTAGTACAAGATTCTACTATTTTCCTTAGCTCTTAGGCAAGCCCCTGAGCTCAGCTATTCTCAAGGCTATAGTAATTCTATATAGAAGGGTTTATTAACTAACTGCCCAAACTACTCAATTACCTAATCTAAAAATCGTAATATTTAAATAATGCCTTAATAGAATTATAATTCCTATTAGATACTAATACTTTATAGTATTGTCAATTCCCTAATAGCTATATATTACTTTAAAACTATATAGTATTACTAAAATTAATTATTTAATAGCATTTTTGGTATTTTTTTATTAATTTTTATTTTACTATTTCTATTCTTTACTTATTCCTATATAATTAATTAAATATCTTATATAATATCCTAAATTCTTTAGTAATATATGGTTTAATATAAGAGAATATATTAGAAGGTTTTTTGTATTATTATAATAATATTTCTTATTCAATTTTCTTTGGGATAAGAATTAGTAACTTGCGTTTTTCGAATATAATACTAAATAATCGCTTTTTGCCTTGCTAATAAATACTATCTTGCCACTATATCTTATTTCTTTGATTTCGCTTTATTAATTCGATCTCGAAGGGTTTCGTATGCAATTTCATGTTCTCTTGTACCTTTTCGAATAGATTTAGTCTTCTTGCTAGTATTGTAATCGAGATAATTATTATGGGCCATCTATAATTATATACTCTTAGAGAGCTTATTGGAATTATTTGCGAATTCAGTATAGTGATTTTTTTTCATAGGCATATTGAGGGGCTAAAAAAGCTTCAGAAAACAATTAATTTGGTAGTAAAATATTATGTGGGTATTGAATTATGATTTTTTGAAGGTAGCGATTTTGGGCGGTTGAGTAGTTTGGGCGGTTGGCCAGTAAACCCTTCTTCTATCTTTCGGAGCAGCCTTATCGAGAATTTCTTTCACCTCAAAGCTTTTCCCAGCTTGTACTGTAGCTTTTTACTCCACTCCTTCTGCGGCTCAATGCCAATCATTCCAGCAACCCCATGATCCGAAGCAGCTCCTCAGCTTGAGCCGAGGTAGCATGTTCTCGGTCGCCACGACAGTCGCCGCAGAACTCTGGACCTCGAGCCTCATCTTTCTGTCTTAGAGATCTCCCGTGCTGCGTATTTGGACCAATGATTGAACACAGGCCAAGGTCGCAATTCCCTTCGATTCATCGACGAAACCTTCTAGACTTTCTTCAGTCTGCTTCTTTGTCAGCCATGCAACCATTCGGGCGATGAGTTACTCGAGCTCTGGCCTTCGATAGGTCGAAATGGTCCAGCCAAATGGTTCCATCACAGCACTGAAATTGGGCAGAAATGCATTCAATTGCATTGAAGACCGGCCATAAGAATCCACACTTCATTCCTGCAATCGGCTTGCCAGCGATAATCAATCATTGTCAGAACTCTACCATTCTCAACTACAGTAGACAAATGGGTTTTGAGCTGAGCCTTATCGTGGAGCTAGGCTCATCCCATGTCCCAAGCTCCGCCTTCGCTTCTTCCCGTTCTGTCATGAGCTGCCCCACCACATCTCAGAGCTGCAATAAAGCAATACATAAACGCACCCTCCAGACCTCGTTAATATCTCCTGATCGAGAAGCCTCGGATCCTTCAGAAAGTCTCTATTCGTTAAAGTCATCGATAAGGCTTGGACAGGTGTGTTATTATCAATCTGTTCATCCTCGCTTTCCACGATTGGTGCGAGGTCGATACAAGGCGTTCCTTCTCTGCACCTTCGCAGAATACATGTGTTGTCTCTGGGCTATGTTTCAACGCCATGTTGCAGAGCCAACTCTTGTGACCCAGAAATAGCCAATCCGGCATGTCTCGCGTCCATCATTGGGGACAAGTCTTCCAGATCAAGCCCTTATCTGCGCCTAGTTGTGTATGGCCTGACGGCTTATTCCACAATGGTGACTTTTCGCTATTGCTTTTTCGGCCGTGAGGCTCTCTTGCCAGCGGAGGGATATTTGCTCCCACCCCACTTTCTTTCTATCTGTTAACGTTCGAAGTTTCTGCGTTATCTCATAGAAACGATGTATTTCAAGTTTCTTCTCACGATTGTGCTGCCGCTTGTGAGTGCTTTACCATGGGATGGGCCCCAGGTAACTGCAACAATAGAGCTTGGAAGCATTGAGCTCTTCAGACATGATCAAATCGGCATTGCAGTAAAGCCTGGTTGGAATCCAGCTCCGACAGCGAAGCCACGAGATCTCGAGAAACGTCTTTCAGCAGCTTTTAGTTCTTCAACTAGTGTCAATACCTGTGGCTTCTTGGGAGGATCTGTTGGTTCGTCCTCTGCATATCCCGGCGGTGTTGGTGGTTAACGTCGATAGCCTTCTCCGAAACATGCGATCCTGGGTATACGTGCGCCATAGCCACCGCTCAGAATGTTTGGGCTTGCTGCCAGACACCTTCAGCCTGTTACATCAAAACGTCTTGTGTCCCGCAGTCGGCGTTAGTGAGCTGTGCTGCCAATCCTGCATGTCAAGGAAACAGCTTTGTGGCGAAATGGTATGGAGCCATTACCTGCTGACAAAACTGATCAGAGTGCTGACGATTTCAGTGATACTTTCGACCCGTACTGCAACCAGCAAATCATCATTGGAGAAGGAAATCTGCCAGCAACCCTTTTCTACTGCGGCTCGGTCCCATCCATCGAGACGATATACGCCACCGCCACCGACGCAGGAACTTCAGCGTCGGCTGGTTCTTTCGTTTTTGTTAGCTTGACAATCGCATCAGTTTCCTTCTCTACGACTCCCACTCCTTCATCAAGCTCTTCACCGAGCCCAACGCTGGTGACATTCACATCCACATCCTCGAGCGCCCCACCCCCAACCCACACTTCAAAGCCCACACCAGTGGGAGCGATTGTAGGCGGCACAATTGGCGGAATAGCCGTACTGATCGCACTGGCATTTGGAGTCTTCTTCTTGCTGCGCAGCAAGAAGAAGCGCAACGCAGCACCAGCTGGTGATATGCAGCAAGCTCAATATCACCCTCAAACGGCACCTGATGCGGGACAAGGCGCTGCTGGGTATCCTTCTCCTCAACCGGGGAAAGACTATTATTCTGCGCAAAGCTCGCCTGTTTCGCCGTACTCTCCGCCGCAGAGTCCGCCTTTGGGAGCACCTGCGCCTCAGTACCAGCCAAATTATAATTACCATCAAGGGCCATCTGAGATTGAGGGGACCGCCGTACAACGATGATCGAAGGGGGCATCATTGCATGAGCCAGTAATTAAAGATGACTTTTACCGGTTGGTAGAATTTTGGTTGTCAGGTGCTGCATGAGCAACAGGTTTCATTGCGTTAGGGAATCAGTATAATCTTGCGCAGGCTTCGAAGTACTTAATTTGGTTGGACATATACGAGTCAGTTGAGAATGAATAGGACTAATGAATACTTGAACAGCATTCCCCAAAACATCTTTGCTGTTTCTCCGTTTACAAGCCAATTAATTATTCTGGTTCACTGTCCCTCCACTTCACAACAAATTCGCAGCCCTCTCCCTAAGCATATTCCCACTCATAATAAACAACGCCATCACCTGCCCCACGCCCGCCAAGAAGACCACACTCCTCAAATTCGCCATCCCCTCACTCGTATTATTGATATAAACAAAATTATACACTACTCTACTAATCAAATACCCTACACTCAGCGTATTCAGCTTCGCAGCAGGTAGACCGGCAAGGTGTCCAGCTAGAACAGCGGTGGCGAATAGAGCGAGGTTTTCGAATCCATTCGTTTGTACGGCTTCGGCGCGCAGGATGCGGGATTTGGTCTGCGTCGTGTTAGAGATGAAGAGAAAGGAGAGGGAGGGGAAAGGGTACGTCTTTAGAGATCGTTTGGTCTTTTTCTAGTGTCTGGGCGTAGGTTCGTGAAGAGCGGTTGTCGAAGAGTTTGGATTGCGTGGCTGCATAGAAGTGCGGTACGAAGGCGATTACCCATGCGGCGGGGATCTGGACGGTATTAGAGAGTGAAAAAGAGTGGTTGCAAAAGGAGATCTCACTGTATAGAGGGAGAAGTTGCGAGTCGTATCGAAGAGGGATGCCATTTGATCAGTGATATTGACGTTTCTTGATATGAAATCGGCGATTTTGGAGTATTTAGAGATTTTCGAAGCAGGGAATTAAAGAAGCTTTAAACTACATAATATTTCGATTATAATAGACGTCATTTCCTAGTATCAACTATGGAGTGTCTGTAACCTACTTGGGTTACCACGGTGGGCCGCTAGGCAGGTACCCGAAGCTAGGCATAATCGAATCTAAGTCATTACAGGAATACTCGCTAAAGAAAAGGGGCTGCTAGAACCCTTATTAAATGTGCCCTAACAGTAACAAAGGGCAGTCCGTTTAATATACTCTACGATCTTGGTAATCTGACTAATTAATTATTAAACGCGCTCGTGAGCTTGTTCAAATTTGACCAGCCCTACCGTATTATTGCCCTACTTCTTGTATCACCATGGAAGCGATGGCCGCGGGACGACCTTTGCCATGGGATCTGTAGTTCGATTCAAAATCACAATTAGCGCGCTGTCCAACTTCTGGTGCTTATTCAAACACGGACCGGGGAATGTCTATCAAATATGTTGGTACAATGGAGAGGGCGCTAACTATGCCTCTGCAACCGAAGATATAATATTGAGCGTCAGTTAGCATTTAGTTAACTGAAACAGAAACGATTCAAACGAAGTTGGATGAACATATATAAGACTCTTCTTATAGCATCTCCAAGACTCTAATTGCCTAGCTCTAGTTAGAGTCTTCCTAGCTCCCGTCGGTATATACTACTGGAATTTATTTATAATACTATTAATATTCTCTTTAATAATATCTATATCTTTTTGTTATAAAGGGCATACTATATTAAGCTTTAACTAGGGATATTAAGTCTCTTTAAAGTATGCTTTTCCTTTTACTCTCATATAGTAAACTTATTATATTAGTTAATATATCTAGTAAGAATTACTATGGGGTTATATAGTTACTACTAAGTAATATTAACTTTTATATCTATGGCCTTGGCTTAACTTAGAGGAATAATAGGGGACATTAATAGAAGAAGAGTAATAGAGGGTAACTGGACTTTATAAGCTAAAACTGCTTTATTAAGACTAGAGAGTAATAAATAACTCTATAAGGCCTGCTTTACTTATACGAGAAAAGGAAATTAGGGAAAATAATAGCTATAGTAATAGAAATAAGGCCCTCTATATTTGGCTGCCTTTTAATATTTGGCTGCCCCTAATAATACTCGCTTAGTTTTAGTATTTTGATTCCCTAAAAACAGTAATATAACTATCCCGAATCCGGGAGCTAAAATACTATTACCTTAATTCTAGAAGTAATTTTTAAAAAATAATTATAAATATAATAGTTTTTTTTTAAATTTTTATAATTTTTATAAATACTTTATTAAAAAATATAAACTAATTATTAATTCTTTTATTTTATTTAAATAAATTAGGTAATATTAAAAGGCTTTTAATTATTTATAAGAAATTATAGTTTTTGTTTTTATTTTATAATATTATAAATAATTATAAGCTCAATTTTTTAATTTTTTATATTTTCCTTTTCTAAAATTATATTATTAATAAAGCTTAATTATAATATATCTAATAAAGAAATACTTATTATATATAAAAAAAAAATTAAATTTTTTTTTTTAAAAAAAACTTTCAAATATTTCTTTTAATATTTCTTTTAATTATTATATTTTGAAATATTTTATAATAATTAGAAAGCTTTCTTTTAAATAAATTAAATAAACTAAGCTTTTATTTTAATATTATTTTAAGCTTATATATATATATATATTTAAAAAAGTTTAAAAAAAAATATTTATTATAAAAATAAAATAAATTTTTTTTTTTTATAAATTTAAATTTTTTTCTTAAGAAAAATTAATTCCAAAATTATTTGTAATTAATAATTAATAATAATACTTTATAAAATTAATTTATTAATTTAAAACTTGGCTTTAAAAACTAGACTTATATTAAAAACTGCTTAAAAAATAATTTCTTTAAAAAAATAATTTCTTTAAAAAAATAATTTCTTTAAAAAAATAATTTCTTTAAAAAAAGTATTTTTTTAAAGCTTTATTATTTAAAAAATATTATTATTAATTATTTATATATAAAAACATTAATTAATATTATAATAATTATTATATTTATAAGAAAATATATATATTAAAAAATAAGAAACTTAGCTTATTTCTTTTTAGTTCTTAATTACTTTTAATAATATATTATTATAAACTTTAAAAACTATTTAAAAAAAATATAATATAATATAATAATATTTCAAATTAATTATTTAATTTTTAAAGCAAATTTTATATAAGAATTAATATTAAACTTAAGTTTTTTATAATTAATTACTTTTAAATAAATAAAAATTATTAGCTAGTTTTTATTTATAATAAAAAAAAATATAAATTTTATATTTCTTTAAAAGAAAAGTCTAATAAAAATAAAGCTATAATATTAATAAACTAATTTTATGAGTTATAATAATTTACTTAAAGTTATATTAAAAAATTATTAAGATAATATATAATATAAGCTAATAAATATTATTATTTATTTAATTTTAAAGTTAGAAATAAAATATAAATTATTATAAAGTATTAAAAACTGAATTATTTAAATTATAAGCTAAAAAACTAAATAAAGAGCTTATTCGAGATTTCTTTTTAATAAAAAAACTATTAGAAATTATAAAAATATATTTAGTTTTTTATATAAAGAAATTATAAAAAAACCTCTAAAAAATTTTATTAAATTAAATAAATTCAAAATTACTTCTAATAATAATAATAATAAATATTAAATAAATATTTATAATAAAATTAATAAGAAGAAGCTAAAATATAAAATAAATTAAAATAATTAAAATAAAGATTTATAAGAAATCTAAAATTCTAAGCCTTTTATAAGCTAATATATTATAAAATATATATTTATATTTTTATAGCTTCTTATATTTTAGCTTTCCTTTTTTTAGCTCTAAATTATTTTTTTAAGAAATCTTTTATTTTATTTTTTAAGCTTTAAATATTATATTTATAACTTATAATTTATTTATTATTTAGCTTAATTTATATTATTATAAATATTTATTTATTTATAATAATTCTAGTAATTAAAGCTATATAATTATAATTAATATTTTATTATATAAGTATTTATATTAATTCTTTATAATTATTTTATAAGATAAGCTTATTTAATAATATTATTTTAATATTTTAATAAAATCGAATAAAGTATTAATATATTATAAGTTTAAATTATATATTATTATTATAAGATATTAATTTATTAAAGTAATAATAAAATATATCTCAAAAGTAAAAGATATTAAAAGAATATATATAATTTTAAAGAAAAATTAAATAATATATTATTAGTAATTTATTAGTTTAATTTAATTTATTAAAGGAATTCTAAAAACCCGAGATTAAAACTCTTATTAAAAATAATTATATTTAATTATAATACTAGTATTTAATTAATTTATTATAATATAAACTTTTAGTAAATATTTAAGTCTAGTAAATTATAAAAGTTAATATTATAAAATTAAAAATCGGAAAATTAGAAAATTATCTTTTATTTCCGGGTTTTATTAACTAGCCAGTTATAAGTCTTAGTATAATAGCCTTAGTATAAATACCGCAAATACTAATACTATCTAATACTGGATTCTTTATAACTTTTTCCTTACTAGATATTAAAAGAATCCTTAATATACCAGAAATTAAACGAAATTTCTGGGATTATATAAATATATTTACTTTCTAGAAACTTCGAAATCCAGAGTAATATCTTATATTAGAAAATAAACTCTAGAATAATAAGTATACTTTTATATTTAGAAATCCGTTATATTTAAATATACTAATAATAAAAAAATAAAAGTTATATTAGAAAAAGACGAGAATAAGAAGAATTTGAATAGATTACTAGATCCTGAGAAATACTATATACAGATATTTATAATTTATAGGCCTGGCAGGTTTAAATTAGCTAATATTAATATTTCTCTTAATAGAAGTTATATTATAATACCTATATTCCGAGATTCTATTAATATTTCTTTAATAGACCTAATTACTTCTCTAGTTATTAATTCTAATTTCTATTTCTAGAACAGGATTTTAGATAATAAAGAATTAAAATATTTAAATACTAGAATACTAAAAAACTCAAACTATTTCAAATTAGATATATAATTATACTAAAATTAAGCTAAAACTTATAATTATTATAATTAATATATAAAACTAGATAATATATTAAAATAATCTAATTATTATTATTATAAAAAGCTATATAAAAGCATATAGTATTAAAAACCGGTTATTTACTAAAATATAAGAAATACTAAAATTACTATATTTAGAAAATTATATTAAATCTTAATAGAATACCCGAAATTCTTTAAAGATACTTTATATAATAGAAAAGAAATAGATTTAACTTTTGCGAAATTTTTATAATAATAGAATCTAATATGAAATTATAAGAATTTTTATAATATAAATATTAAAATTATATTTATTCTTATTTATTAAATTAAACGGATTTCAATATTATATACTTTTATATTCTAAAGAGCTATTTCTTTTAAGAATTACCTCTTTCGGAATTATTTCCTAAAAAGCTCTTTATAAATTATAATAAGCTATTTCTAGGAAACTCTTTATATATAATATATAAAGAGCTTTTTATAAATAGTAAATATAAGTTTAAATATAATTTTAGTACGATTTTATATTTAATTTTAGGTAATATATAATTTTGAATTTTATAGTTTTAATATTCGAATATTCGAGTATTTTAATATTTTATTACTTAAAATCCTGCCTTATTTTAATTTCTATTTTATAAAAGTTTATTAAATAATTATTTCTAAATATATTTAAAAATTATAATATAATAAAAACTAAGCTTTTACTAAATATTTTTACGAAATTAATAATATAAAGAAATAGAAATATAAGACATATTTTATAATATATTAATAAAAACTACTAATAAATCTTATAAGTCTTAGTTTTAGTTTCTTATAATAATATTTTAATTTATTTAAACTATTATAATTATTA